ACTGGAAGAGGATGATCCTTGTTATAAAGTTTTCATTTATGTATTTGAGAGGAAGAGTAAGAAAGTGAGCACAACCAGGCACAGGGGTAGAGGGAGAAGGAGAGAGAGAAATAGACTCACCACTGAGCAGGGAGCCCAATGCGGGACTCGATCCCAGGACCCCGGGATCATGACCTGAGCCGAAGGCAGATGCTTAACGACTGAGCCACCCAGGCGCCCGCCCTTATGCATTTCTTATTGTATCACAATATCACAGCCAAACACATTGAATTAAAGACAACTTATAGTTTGGACTTTTAAAAGTCACCCAATTCCATGCTGGCTTCGAGGAACTCGCCCTGAATATAATAATGCACATTGGTTAAAGTGAACAGTAACCTCATGTTCCGTGGTATCAATCACCCTGATACCATCACTCATCAAAGACAGCAGAGACAGCTGCAGAGAGGATCTGTTACATACAAACTTCAGCACAGAATCTAGCAACAAATAAAATGGATTCTACAACACGAAATTTATGTCGGGAGGTTTAAATCTGAAAGCCAATTAATACACCCTATCAGTAGAATGTTTTGTTTTTTGACAAAAATGACACATGATCATCTCAATGAATGAAAAAAGCATTTGACAAAACCCAACACCCCTTCCTGATAAAAACACTCAGAAAACCAGGAATAAAACTGAACTTCCTTCATCTGATAAAGGGCACCTACAGGCGCCGGACCCCTAACATCATCTTAATGGGGAAACGCTGAACCCAAGACTGGGCGCAAACAAAGAGGCCCACGTCCACCCGCGGAGCCCCAGAGGCTCCAGCCAGACCAGTGAGGCCACACAAGCAAATAACAGGGGACCTGAAATTGTTCCCAGTCACAGACAGGAGGGCTGTTTATGTGGACGGACAGACAGAACCACCAGGAATCTAAACTAATAGTGAGTTCTGTCAGGTTTCTGGATACATCTATGCATGAGAATCGGTGGGTTTGAGTGCTCACAATGAACAAATGGAAACTGAAACAATCTGTAACAGCTCCAAGGGAAAGAGAGAATTAGGCATAAACCTAACAGAGCAGGGGCTGGGTCTCTATGTTGAAAAACCAGAAAACATTGATGGAAGGAATCAAAGACAAGCAACTTCGTGCAGAGACATCCTGTGTTCACGAATCCCGAAGTATTCCTTCGTAGACAGACAAGCTGATTCTAAAATCTACATGGAAAGTCAAAAGAAGAGCAGGCAAAACAATCTGGAAAGAGTAAAATTAGAGGAGTCACACCAGCTGATACTAGGCATCCCTCTCCAATTCAGGTTAGTCGAGTTAGGAGGGTGTTTTTGAAGCGATGGGCAGAGAGAGAGATGGAACAGAAGAGAACCCAGAAACAGCCCTGCACAAAAATGGCCAACGGATGTCTCAGGAAGGTTCGAGGACAATCCGGGAGCGAAAAGACGGTCTTGTCGACAGATGGTGCTGGAACCACGGGCCTCCTCCCGCAGATACCGAATCCTCAGCCTAAACCTCATACTTAAAATTCACTCAGAATGAATCCTACATCTCCATGTAAACTGTACACTCTGCAAGAAAACAGAGACAACGTTTATTGTAATTCGGAGTCAGAGACATGACCCAGAAGCGTGAGAGGAAAAGAAAAAAGGTGCACTGACAGACTGGCGAACCAGACTTCCTAAAAGGTCAAACTCCGCTCTGAGAAGTGCCCTTGTAAGAAATGCACACACACCCTACACACAGACGGTTACAGAGAGCAGGCGACCCACACGCAGAGCGGAGACAGCGATGGCACCGCGGTGAAACGGTGCTCGGCCCTGCAGACGGCGGGGGCGCGCCCTCGGGAGACCCACGGCGAGGGTGCGCGCAAACCGAGCGCCGGGCTCCCGGGACGCTTGTCCATGCGGCGGTCCTCGGAAAGTGGCACACCCTCACCCCGTAAGCCCTGGAGACCCCGGGTCTCACCGTGTGCCCCGAGAAAGGAGAACCCGTGTTCACACGGACACCTGTCGTCCAAGTCTGCAGCGGTTCTCTTCGTGGTCACCAGAGCCTGGACACAAGTTCTCGACAGGTGGACGCGTCGACGCCGGATGATGCCCCGCGGTGGAAGGAGGAACGACGGGCACCCGGAGGACTGTCGGAGGCCCCACGCGGAGGGGCCAGTCTCGGAAGCCTACACGGAGTGGGCCTGCACGCACGGCACGTTCCGCAGAAGGAGAACCGCAGGGACCGGGAAGCGCCAGGAGAGCGCGTGGGCGCGACAGGCGAGCGGGGGTGGGGGTACGACGGGGAAGCGCGACGGGCCAGCGCGGGGGCGTCCTGCTGCGGAGCAGGCACACCGAGCCAACACAACCTCCCTGAGAAGAGTCTGGAGGCCGGAGAGGGGCTCGGACGGAGCCCCAGCTCGGGAAGAAGCCTGCCCTGCCGCCGGGCACCACCCGAGCCCCCGGCTTCCTCCATCGGACCCGCAGAGCAGCCCCGCCAGCCCCCTCCTCCTGGTCCTGGCCTGATCGCAGTCCCTCCGCCATTCCCAAATGAACCCATTTTGCTGGTACAATAACTGGCTGCTTTATTTGCAAGGTTGGCCTGGTGGAGGTGGACGCGTCTACACATGTTACAATTCGTAAAACCCTACGCCAAAACGAGTCAACGTTACTGCAAGTTCCTTTGAAAAGTATTTTTTATTGCAGAGAGCGGTCAGGGGCGTCCTCACCTGACAGAGACCTGTGAGTCTGGACAGTGTTCCAGGTGGACGGTCCAGCAGCGAAGGCACTGGAGCCGGAGCAGAGGACACCGCGTGGCCAGTGCCCCTCCGTGAGACGCTGGGACCCCCACCAGCCCCGCGGGCGTCTGCGGCTCGGTCAGAGCAGTGGGAGTGGAGAGGAGGCCAGCGGTCAGGGGGACGCAGGAATGCCAGGCCCCTGGGGGCCACGGTGAGGACTCTGGAATTACTGAACAGGGTGGGGAGCTGTGGGGCGCAGGGAGCAAGGGCGGGGACGCTGCGTGACTGTTAAAGGCCTTCTGAGAACAGAGCTTGGAAGAACAAAGGCAGAGACCGGAGACTGGACGCCTGTTTGGAAGGTGGGGGCCAGCACCGGAAGTTCTGCCCCCACCCCAGCTCCTGCCTCTGCACCGTCCCTCTCCAGATGCTGGCCGCCCTTTAGCGCCCGGCGGCACACTCCTGGTGGGAAGGAGCTCCAGGCCTCCACCCCCCATCTCGGAGCCCTGGGACACCGCCATCCACCACCTCAGGCCGTGCAAGCACCCCACCACGGAGACGGGGCTGTTCACATCCACACTGGCCCAGTGGCACCCCGCCATGGTGCCCCCAACCATCACCCCATAGCTGATGGGGGCCAGGTGCCCCGCACTCCCCATCACAGTAGCGCATTCAGAACACAGAGCTTGGTTTGGTGCACGGTGTCATTTCATTAGATCCTGGACTGGAGGGTGGGTAGGGCTCCGGGTCGGGGGTCGGGAGGGGCGAGGACCTGGGGCCGGCAGGCAGGCTCAGGCATTTCTCTGCTCTGGGGGAAGGTACTCAAGGCCCAGGTGCCTGAATATGTCTTCCTCGGAGGCCACGTGGAAAAGCATCTTCTGCAACAGGAGTGGGGGTGTTAAGGCCTGGGGGCTGCCCCCGACGGCGCTGGCTTCCTGGAGAAGGGCGTAGGGAGGGGTCGGGAGGGGCAGCAGGTTCCTCCCCCAGGCAACCCCCCCGCCCAGCAACACACCTGCTCCGGGTCAAACAGCCCATGGCTGTTCAGCCACAGCCCTCTCTCCTTCCGGCTGTAGCGGCGCAGCTCCCGCTGGAAATGCTGGGGAGAGCGAGGTCGTGGCAGGGCCGCTTATCCCCCCCCACAGCCCCAGGCCCGGCCCCCACAGCCGGCACCTACCTTAGAGCCAGTCCAGCCTAGCAGGGCGAAGGGGAGCTGGCTGATGGGGACAGCCACCAGGTCCACCCGCACGGCCCTCCTCTGGGCGCCCCCCACCGCGGCCCCTGGGGGTTGTGGTAGGCAGAAAATGCAGAAAGTAATCTCGAAGGCATCCATGGTGTGGCTCCCCTGGGTCGGGTGGGCGGCGTCCTCAGGGCGGCCGCGGTGGTGTTGGTGGTACAGGACAAGCCCCTGCGGGCAGAGCAGGCGTGGCGGGCCACCGCGGGGCGGGGTGGGGCCGGGGGGCAGCAGCCAGAGTCCCGGCAGTCCTCCCCGCTGTCCCCCCAGCCCAGGCAGGCAGCCCGAGCCCCTCACCTGCTTCTCCAGGCGGCCCATCACGCTGGGCAGCAGCCCGGCCTCCCGGCCCTCCTGGGGGTGGCTGACCAGCAAGTCCACGTCGTGGCCCTGCAACTTCCCCCTGAGGGGGCGCCGTCTGACTCTGGGGGCCACACGGGGCTGTGGCTGCTCCCAGGTCCCGCCAGTGAGGGAGGGCCCACCCCAGGGGCCTTCCCTGGAGGGCCAGCAGACCCCCTCACCTCCGGAAGCCGCCCACCAGCGTCACGGTGGCCCCGGGCAGGACGCACGCCACGGCGGCCTCCACCACCTGCTGCAGGGCCTCCGCCTCCGGCCGCTGGACCGGGGCGCTCAGGTCGTGGTAGTGCTGGAGTCCTGCGGAAGCACGGTCTCCTGACCTTCCCAGCCCCACCGGCTCGTGCTCTCCGCTGTCCCCTCCTCCCTTTGCAGCACAGGAGACCGCAGATCCGCAGGCAGCGGCATGGAAGGGCTAGCAGATCTACCGTCTGTGCCATCAGGCTGCTGGTGTGGGTGCAGTCATGACGCAGACTACCCCTTTGAAGGCCTCGGTTGTCCCCTCCACAAAACGGGCCGGAAGCGGATAAGGACATGAAGGAGGTGGCTCTGCCGCTCAGGAACCCCCTCACCGGAGCCCTGGCCCAGCTCCGCACCTGCGGGGGGACCGCTGCCTCCCGCACGGTCGGGAGAGGTTTCAGAGGGGGAGCGGCGGCGCTTGGGGGCGCAGGCTCTCGGCAGGCGGTTCCTGACCGCGTCACGGGGACCCGTGGCTGACAGCACCTCCTGTTCCCTCAGACATGTGACTTCATGGGTCGCACCACCTGCGGACCCCCGCAGGGCCTCCCCTCCCCCAGTCCGAGGGAAGATGTTCAAAGGCGCGGTGGGTGCCGGGCTGCGGAACCACTCTGGCGGGGCCCCCAACCGCGGCCACGCGGGGAGGCCAGTCTAACACCTGCTACCCACTGGCCTCACACGGAGCAGCTCCCAGACAGCGGAACGGAGGCTCAGCGAAGTTAAAGTCTCAGGGCCAGGGTCACCTACCTAGTACGTGGCCAAGACAGGACTCCAGCCCAGGCCTGACACTCTCAAGCTCCCGTTCGTTCCACTGCACGGGGCCCCCTGCCATGAGCAGGCCCTGTCCTGAGCCTCTCCTGCCCCATAGGTCCCCATGCCATCTGCCAGTGCGCCAGGACACCAGCCCCACGCTGCCAAGCTGTGCGCAGGGCACGGGCCTCCCCTTCCCGGTCCAACCGGGAGGCGTGAACGTCACCCCATCACTGTTCGCTGCGGAAGGGCTCCAGCAGATCCAGACAGAGGCCGGCCTGCCCCCGGGGCCTCTGTGCGCCGACCCCGCGCCCTGCCGTCCAGGCAGCCCCCCGGCACGTGCCGCATCTGGTCAGTGCTGAGGGCTCCGTGGTGTGGGGGGCCCGGGGCCCCGTCCTTCTCAGAGGCTCACCTGCTCTCTGCTGCTGGGTCAGCCTCTGGGGCTGCTTGTGGAGGCTGTCCAGGGTCCGCAGCCCGTCCCGGTACCACCGGTCAGCAGTCTTGACCCCAACGCCGAAGATCCCAGTGAAAAGCTGTTTGGGGGACGAGCACGGCATGGTCAGGAGCGAAGTCCTGACAGAAGATGCAGATGGCCACCACCGTCCGTGAGGGCGCTGCTGTCCCGGGCCGCCCCGTGGCCGCTCACAGCTGTCCGGTTCAAGCAGGCCGCCCGAGGCCACACGGTGCGCACACAGGCAGGATTCAAACCCCAAGGCTGGCCTGTGCGGGGGACGGCCCGGACAGACCCCAGTGTACCTCCCTCTGAGGGCCTCGACCCCCTGCTCCGGGAAAGTCTCTCCCCAGAGCGTGTGCAGCTCCGGCCTGTGAGTCCAGCACCGCACACCAGTCACCCCCACAGCCTCCTGTCCACTGGGAACCACGCCGCTCCCACCTAATAGCAGCTGGGGTTTCGCACCGGGGTTCTTCTCCTTAGCAAACCAGAGGGTTGTTGGGCGCCTGGGTGGCTCAGTTGGTTAAGCGACTGCCTTTGGCTCAGGTCATGATCCTGGAGTCCCTGGATCGAGTCCCGCATCGGGCTCCCTGCTCGGCAGGGAGTCTGCTTCTCCCTCTGGCCCTCCCCCCTCTCGTGTGCTCTCTCTCATTCTCTCTCTCTCAAATAAATAAATAAAATCTTAAAAAAAAAAAAACCAGAGGGTTGTTCTAGAGGAGCTGCAGCGTGGGAGCCAACCTCCCGTCGGGGACGGCCGGCCCCACACGGGTCTCCCACACGGGGTGGGGGGGCCAGCCCCCAGCCCCAGCAAGTCACTCTTTCCTCCCCGACCAAGCTTGTTGGTCCGAGGTAGGCACCGCTCCAGCCGTTTTTGGAAGCGAAACAGAATGCCAGGCGTGTGCGGTGCTGGAGGTTGTAACCCACGGACGGGGAGCCTTCCGTGGCTGGGTCTCAGCTGGCGAGGGGGCCAGCACGCAGAAAGGAGGAGGACCCTGGTGGCACTCGGGTCCCCGAGCCCTGCTTCCTCTGGCTACAGCCCTGCCCATCTTGGGCTATGCTGGCCGTCCTTCCCTCGGTCCCCGGAACCAAGAGCCTGGGTCCTGACAGAAAAAATGCTCAGAACAGCCCAACCATGTTGCTTCAACAATGAACTTCTAATCGTTGACCCACCTCTCTGCTGGCCTGGGCACCTACCTGGGACCCTCCATCCTTCACCCGTGGCTCCTCTCCCTCTCTGAAGCCCCTCCTTGGTCCTCACCACCGACGGCCCACCCTGCCAGGGAAGCCCCCCGCCCCCAACAGGTCGCTGATGGGACAGGCGTCTGAGCTGCGGGATGGAGGCAGCCACCAGAGCTCTGGGGCGTCAGATCGGGGGCGGTAGGAACAGGGGAAGGTGCGCTGTGGACACAGGCAGGGCGACAAGCAGGGCTCGAGATCATAAAGAGGGAAGAAGTTACGTTTTGTCCAGTACGCTCTGTTTAAGATGCCGGGGGACACAACACAGTGGAGAATATTCCACTGATGGTGCTGAGTGGATCTACAAACCCCCCTGTGCTACACGCTAGCTTCTCCCCGCCCCACTGTTTGGCTGCCTCACGCATCTCCGGTGTCAGCTCGCGGCCACCTCCTCAGCAAGACCTTCTCTGATCCCCGGGCGCCCCTGCTCGCCTCCCGTCATGGCTGGCACTGGGCTGCCAGCCGGGGGAGGGCTCCGAGCCCCTGCTGGGGTCCGCCCTGCATGTACCTTCATGGTGTGGTATCGCTCTGACAGCCGGACCCTCTCCACCTCCTCACACACCCCATGTTCCAGCAGCTCCTAGGGGACCAAGCAGAAGGCTCAGCCTGACTGGACACAAGGTCTGGGGCCCGAGGACCAGGCGGAACCCCAACACTCAGCAGGGCAGCTTCGTCCGATCAGCACCCAGGGGCGCTTGGAAATAGAGACCACGCCCGGGGAGGCACCAACACTTCTGGCCTCACGGCCCTCAGCCCAGGGAACACGGGCCACCTCTCAGACAATGACAAGTCCCAGAATATGGAAACTGTGGCTTTTCCAAACACGGGTGACGTATTAACGGGGCTTCGCTTAAAAGCTTAATTGAGTTCAAAAGTATGTTTGGTCCCCACATAGTCTCCCAGTGGCAAAGTGAACCCCTTAGATGGTACACTTAACATGGTATGTGAAGCACCTAACATTCTGGGTCCTTATGTACTTTGTATTTTAAAAAGAGGTGCTCCAAGTCTGGGGTTCCCGTCCACCATCCCAGACAGCGGGGCCGATGCCAACGATCCAGCTACTGGTCCTGCCCGGGCCCTCCCAGCCACACGGTGTGGCCCCCATTTACAGACGAGGAATCCGAGCAGAGGGTGGCTCGCCCTGGCCCTGAAGCCAGCCTCCAGGGCTGCACTGAGCCCCTGACCCCCCCACGCTCACGATCCCCAGGCCACCTCACCCACCTGCCTGCACTCACGACTCCACCCAGGAGTACCTACCTGGACGACCCTGCAGGAGTGTTCTCCAAAGTGGGGCAGCCCCTGCAGCTGGCTCAGGGCCGTGACCCGGCTCGGAAGGGCCTTGAGCACTGCGGCTGCTCTACGGAAGGAGAG